AAAAACAGACGAAACAAAAAACCAGTCTATCTCAGGTGACACATCCAGATTGGTTAATCAATCTATCTCAGGTGATACATTCAGATGAGTTAATCAATCTATCTCAGGTGACACATCCAGGTTAATTAATCAATCAAACGCACGAACAATGCTGTCTCATGCATTATGTCAGTTACTTTAACACAGAGGAAAAGTTAGCTTAGATGTCAAGTGAGTTACTCTGACACAGAGGCAAAATTGACTTACACATCAGGTCAGGTGTTTTAACAAAGAGGCAAAGTTAGCTTACACATCAGATCAGGTACATTAACACAGAGGAAAAGTTGGCTTACACATCAGATCAAGTACATTAACACTGGGGCAAAGTTGGCTTACACATCAGATCAGTTACTCTAACAGCGGGGCAAAGTTAGCTTACACATGAGATCAGGTACATTAACACAGAGGCAAAGTTGGCTTACACATCAGACCAGTTACTCTAACACCGGGGCATAGTTGGCTTACACATCAGACCAGTTACTCTAACACCGGGGCAAAGTTGGCTTACACATCAGACCAGTTACTCTAACACCGGGGCAAAATTGGTTTACACATCAGACCAGTTACTTTAACACAGAGGAAAAGTTGGCTTACACATCAGACCAGTTACTCTAACACCGGGTCAAAGTTGGCTTACACATCAGATCAGGTACATTAACAAAGAGGCAAAGTTGGCTTACACATCAGATCAGGTACATTAACAAAGAGGCAAAGTTAGCTTACACATCAGATCAGGTACATTAACAAAGAGGCAAAGTTGGCTTACACATCAGATCAGGTACATTAACAAGAGGCAAAGTTGGCTTACACATCAGATCAGGTACATTAACAAAGGGGCATAGTTGGCTTACACATCAGATCAGGTACATTAACACAGAGGCAAAGTTGGCTTACACATCAGTCCAGTTACTCTAACACCGGGGCATAGTTGGCTTACACATCAAATCAGGTACATTAACACAGAGGCAATGTTAGCTTACACATCAGATCAGGTACATTAACACAGAGGCAAAGTTGGCTTACACATCAGATCAGGTACATTAACACAGAGACAAAGTTGGCTTACACATCAAGCACCTACTGTAAATAGGTATAAATCTATAACATCAAGCACCTACTGTAAATAGGTATAAATCTATAACATCAAGCACCTACTGTAAATAGGTATAAATCTATAACATCAAGCACCTACTGTAAATAGGTATAAATCTATAACATCAAGCACCTACTGTAAATAGGTATAAATCTATAAATTAAATAATCAGTACTACCACTCATTCTTTATTAACGAACTTTAACTGATGTATAACTGCGGCTGTGTCTCATATATTTGATTGTTTGTTTGTAATTAAGCGCAAAGCTACACAGGGCTATCTGTGCTCTGCCCACCACGGGTATCGAAACCTGGATTCTAGCGTTGTAAATCCTCAGACATACTGTGCCACTGGGGGGGGGGCATATATTTGAATGGTAAACTTGAGGTAAACTGTCATAGTTTATTAAAATTTCTTCAATAATGGACTTTAGGTAAGAAATACTTTATTTACGAACTCTAGGCTATATAAATTTCTCCCCTGTGGCACAGTGGTATGTCTGCGGACTTATACCGTTAGAAACCAAGTTTCGATACCCGTGGTGGGCAGAGCACAGATAGCCCTTTGTGTTATAACATATTCAAAATTCTTTATTAACGAACATTAATCTATTTAACTTGTAATAAAAGTTATTTTGTTAATGATCTTTAATGCAGGTAACCTCTGTTATAAGTTATCTGAGCTCTGTTATCCATGTTTTTTGTTTCGTCTGTTTTTCATGTGGACTCTCTGATCAACACTTAAACCCACGTTTTTTGTTTCGTCTGTTTTCACGTTGACTCTCTATTAAAGAACTTAAACCCACGTTTTTTGTTTCGTCTGTTTTTACGTTGATTCTTTATTAAAGAACTTAAACCCACGGATGTGTCACCTGAGATAGATTGATTAACTCATCTGAATGTATCACCTGAGATAGATTGATTAACTAATCTGAATGTGTCACCTGAGATAGATTGATTAACTAATCTGGATGTGTCACCTGAGATAGATTGATTAACTAATCTGGATGTGTCATCTGAGATATATTGATTAACTAACCTGGATGTGTCACCTGAGATAGATTGATTGACCAATCTGGATGTGTCACCTGAGATAGATTGATTAACTCATCTGACTGTATCACCTGAGATAGATTGATTAACCAATCGGGATGTGTCACCTGAGATAGATTGATTAACTCATCTGACTGTATCACCTGAGATAGATTGATTAACCAATCTGGATGTGTCACCTGAGATAGATTGATTAACTC